GCCTTTTTAAAGATTGATGGTTAGTTATTAATATAAAAGATTGACCATACAAATAAGATTAAAAGTGAACAATAGTCCAAACTATTGCCAAATTTTTTTCTTCATAGAATGAGTAATTTAACTTGATATTGTTATTAATTCTAAAAATAAATACAATAAAATATTTCCATCCTACATCATCTTTTTTTTATCAAGATTGCTCTCAATCCTACTACACTTCAATTTGTATGTAGTTGAAAAGGTCTATTATCATTTCGACATCAAAACATAGGAGTTGAATCCAACTTTTACTTCAATGTATTAAATATATGTTGTTGCTCACAATGCCAAGTCCATGGTTGATCTTTATGCATTAGAATAGTTAAAGGTGTAGCAATGATGCTAAAGTTTTTAATAAACCTTTGGTAGTAGTTTGCCAATCCTAAAAAAAGCTTGAAATCGTGATACATTATTTAGTGATGGGATTTTTTGTAAAGCATCTGTTTTTGCTTGTTATATATTAAGACCTCTTAAAATAATCATATAATCTAATTATAGTAATTATTTATAGAATAATTTATACTTTTTATAATATAAGCATAATTTCTATTATCATAATTGCTCAAATACTACTTGTAAATACTTCTTATGATCTTATGAGATGCTATTAAAAATAATATTATCAATGTAGAATCTACCAAATAACAAGCTAGATAAAACTTTGTCCATTATTCATTAAAACCTAGTAGATGCATTCTTAAGACCAAATAGAAGGAATATCTAGTCATAGAATTGATCTTCGTCATTTTAATTAATTTTTCAAAATTTTATCTTTACTTGATCTTCAATAAGTAATAATAATTAGTAATAAGTAGATCTTATATAAAATGTGTTGAATACTCAAGAAAATCTTATTACATCAAACAATTCTTTTGGCACTAGCATTAAATATTGATCAAATTTAATCTTTCAATTGACTAGATGGTAGTCTCTTTATATTTGCTTTTCTATTCAATTCCCAAAAATATCTTCTTTTCAAGATATGATTATAGCACAAGCATATTCACCATTAGAAAGCTCAATCAAGCCTAAAATCAATACTGCTTAACAACAAACTTAGATATCAATTTTTTGTAAGGCACTGAATTTGTAAGGTTGTCAAAAGATTGAATAATCATCTTTCAATTGGATGTGAATAGATTTGCCTTTATAACCTTCAAGATCTTCAAGACTAAAGGCAAAAAAATTGTAATACAAGAGGATATAAGCTTCTATTCTTTGTATTTAGGCATCAATAAGATATGGCCCTAATTCCAATGACCAATCATCAAACTCTATGGTTTTCTTCTTTATCAATAGACACTTTCACATGGTAATACAATCTTTAATTCTTAATCTATTGAAAAAACATCTCCTATGCCCTCAACATCCTTACTTCTAACCAAATAAAGAACTTCATCACTATAATGTTGGTATAAATTAGAAATATTGATAGAATATAGAATGACTTTCAAAAACAAATCTTGTGAGAGAGTCTCTTGAGTATTGAGTATCATTTATCTCAATGTATCAAATATATAATTTTGTGGAAAAAAAAACTTATTTTACTTTTAGAAGCCACATGAAATTTAGTAACTTGGCTTAATGAAGCCATACTATTGAATTTCTTTTTTACCTCAACAATTTTAGCTTTTAAGGCTTTTTTATAATCTAAAGCAAGTTTTTTGTAATAAAAATACATTGTTTGTATAGAAATTATCTTTATTGTAATTAAACTTAATACAATAAGTATACTTCAATTGCTTCTTTTTAGATTTATTTTCTATTTTAATCATTTTAGCTTTTGGCTTAGATTTCTCTATATGTAAGGCTTTTTTCTTCTTAAGACAATTGGGATCATTTTTGATGTGATCAGGTTCACCACACCTCCAACAATGCATAGTTTTTTTAAGTTGAGTTTCTACTAAGCTACTTGTTGTAGTTGCCATCTTCTTGGGCTTAGATACATTCATCATTTAAGCTACTATATCAGTAGCATCATGTTGATAAAGTATCTTATCACATTTTTTAACTTTAACAAATATTTGTATTAATATTACCTTGCCATTATAGTTAAAAATAATTCTTGGTGTAATTAAATCCAAGAATCTCTTATCAATCTTAGATAAAAAAAAATCTTAACAAATTTGCTCTCAGTAAATACACCCTCGAATTCTACTGCAAATTGAATCCAATAAGTATATATGGTATGTGGATTTTTTTTTATATAATAGAAGTCTTGAATGCATTGCATTTGATCACGCTTAAAACCTTCATATCTATATTCTAAGTATTTGGAGAGGTTCAAATGATAGTGGCTCTCTTATTATAAATAAAATTACTTTTATTGCTTAAATTATTTAAGACAAAGTAATTAGAGTGTTGGTAAAGGAAGTAGCTACTTTTTTTCCTTTGGTATCTTCCAAAGATGTATCAACTTCTCCTCGGATTGGATCTTCTTCTTTTACCATAGTTATGAAACTTAAGATAGTACCCTCCTTAAGAACTAAAATAAATTCAATACATACCTTTCAATAATGCTTTATTTCTTACAATTTAAGTGAGTGTTCCTCACTCTATTATCCATAGGTTTGGAGTATATTATATTCTAAGTATTGTGGTAAGAGTTCAAAGATATACCACTTATTGAAAATATGAGACCTTTGATGCTTCTCCCTCATCCATGTTCAAAATCTGAGTTTCCAATCTAGCAAAGAAATGTCTCTAATTCCTCTTGCAAATCTTTCCATCACCATGTTGCAAGGATTGTCTTCCATCTCATAAAATGTATCCACTCTTAAGATCTAAAGCCTTAAAGTAGTATCCAATACTCAAATAGGTTGAAAAGCCTCATTATTATCCACTCTTAGTTCAAAGTCATTAGTGTGGTCACTATCCAAGTAGTCTGATAAAGAAAATCAATAATATTAGTTTCTAGTATGCACCATAAAAGAAATATTTATATACTTGTAACTTTTTAAAGGCTAAAAGGGCAACATGCGCCTATAAATCTACTAAGTTTTGCAGTTCATTAGCTATCACCTCTGAATCACTATAAGTCCAACATACCTACAAACAAAAAGATTTTATTAGCTATCAATCCAACTCCATTCCTATAGGATACCTATCAACACAAACTAGTACAAATATGAAATGATATAACCATGAAAAATCTTTGAAAACAGTATTGACAACTAAGAGAATGTATCAAAACCAAATTTCAAAAATCTACACTAAATCCTTATTTTTAATAATACATAAGAAAAAATCAAAGTAAACTAGAGCAACTAGCATCCGCCTATGGTTAATAGTCACAAATTATAGATTCTATGACAATAAAAGATAATTGAAATAAAATAAAATATAAAAAAATAAAAAAAAATAAAAAAAACTCACTTAGAAAATAATTGGCATTGAATAAATACTACTTCAATGCTTCAAATGACCTCCACTCTAAAAATTAAGTCCATGAATTCCTTGGACTTCTTTTATATAAAATTGACTAAAAAATAATCAAATTTGGACTTCATATATACTTAGAGTGAGCTTCCAAATTTAATACTTAAAAATTTTAGATAATATATTTTTTTAATATTGGATCCAATAACTATACAATGAATCTATGATTGTGGATTGTGTCATATGGTCCTATGATTGTAAAGAATCCTAGACTATGGGAGCCTATTAGCATAGTCCTAAAACTAAGAAGAGTCCTTGATTATAGGATCCTATCACTATGGTCTTATGATTGCAAAGAACCTTTGATGGTGGATCTTATCACTATGATCTTATGACCATAGATTGACAATTTGAATTACAAGAAATCATTGCAAGCCAACTTTAGCGATTGAATTTATGTATTGAATTTATTTTATTTTAAGAATATCATATATCATATATACAAAAAGTTTTACTTACAAATGTATAATTAACAAGATTCAAATATTATATTTTGATTGATAGTATACAATTTAAAAATTAATACCAAATGCTTTTCATAAAAACTATTTTAATTAAAAAAATAAAAAATAAAAAATAAAAAATAAAATCAAAAGTTTTTAAAAATTTTAAAAATAAATGAATAATATATATATATATATATATATATATATATAAATAAGGTAGGTAAGAAGATTAGATTTAAGACTTGGTCATTAATCATAATACAAGAAATTTCGTAAAATATTTGAAATCTTTTTATACTGACAATTGAAATTTTCTTAAGATAATAAGTGCATAGTATTTTAGACATGAAAAATCATTAGTTGGATAGAATTTGGTGTATATATATATATATATGTATATATTTATGTATCATACAAAATTTTGTAGAATATGAGAAATGTATATATAAATTTTACTAATTAAACATATTAATTTAAATTTAAGAACTGCAAGTTTCTTAAAAATCTCATCACCTTAACAATTCCCATATTTATGTGTATATAGGGATATAAAAGGAACAAATCAGCGCCTAATCATAATTATTTTTTAACTTTAAAATAATAAAACCATAAGATTCTATTTTTATTTTTATTTTAATAACGAAACGTTCATTTTAAATATACATGTACATATATATAGACATGTGTAATATCCATATATAGATTTAACAGTGAAGCAGTGCCTCTGAGCAACGAAACCTGCAGGATGGAGAGGGTTAACATTTGCTGTGGATACGAAAAAGTCTGTTTGATCTCTGAAGGATATCATGGGCACACTCAAAAGAAACTACATAAATAAATGTTTTAGTATTGTGGGTTGACAGTTGGCGCTTCGAGAAAGTTTGATAGGCGGAGAACTGCCAGATCACTTGCAATGAAAATGGCATGAAGGCTCAACTGGAATTGGTCACTGGATCTGCACGTTGTAACTTAGCGTGATAGCCAAGGACTGGAATCGTTTTTCAATGAAGTAACAGAGCTTTTGCATCAAAGAATGCAACGAGTATAAATTGGAATGCGATTGACAGACGCCAGATATGGAATAAGGAAAATTTGGAATGGCGCTTTATTTGGATGCTGTGCAGCAGAATCATGACATCACTGGAGCTAGCACCAGTGCTGCTCCGTCTTTTGGTATCATAGACCTTCAAGTTTACAATGATTTGACCCTGGACAAGTCCACTAGGATAGCTCCTGACAGTGTTGTATACTTACACGAAAAAAACGCTTATTAGCCCAATCCAGACGGACAAAAGAGTCACACTACGTTGCTGAGAATTGGAGGAAGACGAGGAGGCTATCCCTCTTTGAACTGTTGCGTTCGTTTGTGATCTAGCAATCATTTCCCCGGGGAATTCGTTACATTTCACAAGGTTGAAGCATGGACCCCTCAACCGTTGTTATTTGTTTCGTAAAATTACATGGGCGTGATCCAGTCGTGGCCATCAACGAAGTCCCACGTCAAGAACGGGGCAGCTTCCTCATCTGTCAAATCCTTAGACCAATTCACACGTCCTTCAGTGTTAGCTCCCACGCCTGTACACTTGTACTGGCCGTAGTACACCTTCCTGTTTCACCAAACAATTGCAACGTTAAACCAGTTTGTTATGGTTCCAAACCAGCTAATGACTTGTACGAAGCTGTCGCCGAATCTTCTCATCTGACGCAATAAATTAAAGTATGCAATGCGACATTTCGTTGGCAACTTAAATAGTGGAAGCTGTTCGCAGGTTGAGGGCTTGAAGCGAGATAGCCAGAGAGCGAGAGAGGAGCTTACTTTTCTCTGCTAGAATCCCCCCAGTTGTACCATCCGGCAGGGATGATTGGAGCGGAGATGTCAGTTAACAGCAATACCACTCTGGAGTATGGTCCCCAAGCGCGACCCAAATAGATAGGTCCATTTCCTGTGACCTTACAGTTGACAAACGAAAACCCACTATTCTCATCTTTGGTCATCTTCTTCTGTGCTGTGAGGGAACCGCTTCCCGGATTGGCAATCGAGTCCAGGTGGCAGTACTGCAAAATTAGGCGACACGGCCGACTGGTGTTAATGATCGGTCACAACCACAGTTTCCCTTCCTGCAAATGCACCCATTTCATTGACAAGCCAAGGATTTGTTGCAGCAACTGACATGAAACCAGTCGGGAGTCTGGTTCTAGAATGGAGGAATTTCAGGTCATTCTGCACATACCTCGTAGTATGATTGGCCGTTTCCGAAGACGAAATCAATTGATCCTTTGATGTAGCAGTCTTTGAAATAATGCCTTCCCTTCTTATCGTACAACGTATCCTGAGCTCCCAAGAAGCCCACCCGGTAGAACTGAGCAAAGTCTCCTTCGATCCTGAAAGCAACTGCTTGCTGTCCCACTGCACCACCAGGGGGAGGAGGGTGTGTGTTCTGTTGCAAATCACCGAAATAGTTAATCATCCCTTGCAACACCAGTGCTCAATCTAGCAGCGCTTCACGATCTTCTTTCTTATCTGTGATTGCAAATGAAAGACCGTGGTAGTGTATTCGAGGATTTCAGTACCTCGAAGGTGAGGTCCTTCGCAACGAAGTAATCGGACATTACAGCAGTGGAGGCACTCTTGGATGTGCTGCCAGCTTTCTCGGCGTAGTCGTTATACTTCAAGAATGTCTTAAACATCCCCGCTCCCTCAAATGTAATGTAGCGCTGTTTCGCGGTAACGATGTTCTTCCCCCTATCACATTCGCAAGCACCATGATCCAACAAACTCAAACTCTAGTGCCATAGACGTAATTTGTCGAATACATTCAACCTCCGATCAAGCTATTCAGAAAAAATTTCCCTGCTAAATGTACATTGCATGCTTCACCATTAGCTCACTGGAATTGAATTTTACGTAATCTGCCTCAGACAAACCATGCATGGGTGGATGGTGAAGACATTTACCAGAACGAGCCCTCGCCAATTCGGATCACACACCGCTCTTCGTTTGACTCGGGGATGGAATCGATAGCATCTTGAACATTCTGGTACTGCGCTCCTGATCCCTCCATCCCCACTGTCCGGATGCACGTAGGGGTTGAGGGCGAGGGGGAAGAGCTGCCGTCATCGGGTGGGGTGCCTGCAATCCCCATTCCCTCCGTTTTCTTGGCATCCATTCTCAGCTGCTGGCGCTTTACAAAACTAGCAAAATCCGCTTCGGATTCGGACATCGCAGAAGCGGTGAGGACTAGTCCTGCCATTAGTGCGACGACCATGCAGAATTTTCTCGAAACGGCCATGTTGGACAAAATACTAAAAACTTGAACTGCAATTCCCTGCTAACATGTAGAGAATTCGCACCAATCACAGCGATCTGGCAGTACCTAGACTCACTGACGCTCTGTGCATAGTCCTCTCTCTGAACAATCCTTCCGTTGATGATGCCGCCTCCTTCTGAAGAAGAAGGTGCAACCAGAGATACTGCAAGGATCACGGCAAGGTTGTCTTTATACAAGAGCGGGCTTGGGAGACACCGAAGTCGACGAGCTCACGGTGAATATTGTGCAACTATTAGGACTCATTTTACTCGCCTTCGATCAGGCCGACTAACTGGTTTAATGGTCGTAAACTTCAGGGACGAGAATTTTCCCCTAACTCCAGGGGGACTAAAGCAGGAAGTGACTGTGCATGAGCGTCTGGGGAGTCAACGGGATGGAGCCCCCTATTGGATGAAAGCATTAATGACTTTGATCATTTTTTTTTCTCGTCTGCAAACACGTTGAACACGGCGGAGGCCTTCAGGGCGTGGTACCTGGGATGCTTGGCAACTATGACCAGTTCCTTGCCCTGTTGCGCATGGCTCTGTGTTGTCTCCGACCAACGCCATCAGGCTGAAGCGGAGGCGTCGCTTTCCCGTTGAAGATGGTGCTTGAGCCGTAGTTTTTTTTGTCGGAATAGAATGAACATCGCATGTTTCAAACAATAAACGCGTGCCGAGAAATCTGATCGCCGTGGATTTCGAGAGACAAGTCTTGGATGCAAGTCTCTTTTCACCACCTTCAACAAATCGTTTCCATAATTCTTCCCGTCTGAAGGGAAAACTAATTCTAATGCTCATTGCTTACAAATTATTAAATTAGATGAGAAAAACGCATTGTCTTAGGAAATCATGATAATTTTTATAATTACTATTATAATTCCTTTTGTATCAGAAACAGATGACTTCCTCTATTTCATGAGAATTTGTGAAAAAAATTTAGGTTTGAAAATGTTCCGTGCTACATCAAGTATAAATTTACTTGATGTCGGAAATGAAGTGAATACTTGAAAAAGTGAGTTCCAAAAGTCTTCGATTCCTTCTACAAGGCAACTCCCTGTTCAATCCTGAGTCTTAGTTTAGAAAGCTGGCGAGTGCAAGGGGAGCAGGAAGGTCCGCGACTTTCAGATAAACATTTGCTACCGTGCGAGACCCCGCAATCCAACGGACATTTGCTAAAGGGTGCATAGTAGCTTGCACTTTTTCCCTGAATGATTTCTCCTTGACAGGACCAAGTCTCCCCCCAATTATTTTCAGGTATGGAAGAAGTGAACGGATGGTGATAATTGCACAGATTTTTCAAACCAGCGATGAAATTATAAACTCATGCATCGGCTTTCAATCTCCCCTTCAGCTATGAGATTGCATCTCACAGTCTCAGGCAGATGAAGAATACTCGAATTCAACGTCCAGGGAGAACCAGCTGGTTGAATCATCTATTCTAAGAAAGCACCTCGAAAAAATATAGTTCACGACATAGAGGTACGTAAATCGGATTCCGGTGAAACAGATGGGACGATGGGTGGGGCTCATTTTTTCTTCCTGAATAACCCTGAAACAGTCACTTAGATTCGATTCTCCACCTCACCAGCCGCGGCATAATGCACAGTAAACGCACATATAACCGAATCAATCGTCTTCGTCGCAGTATATGTGGACATCTATCTGGAATCCGAGGGTTTCACAACCTAGCACCAGATATATTCTCCACATAAGAAATATTCACCTGGTCGAAAGATTAATTACCGTTACTTCGGGAATTAACCTGGTTACCGACAATATGACACGACGAGGTTTAGGATATTACGAACAATAATTGGGCGAACCCATCTTAAAGGAGTCACAGAGCATCGGCGAATCCTTCCATCCGATGGCCGAGTGGGTCCCTGATCAGATGGACTTTCCATATAAGGTGACTCGATGCCAATCATCGACCACTAAAAGCCTGCTCTGCGCTTCTGCTTTCTCCCCTGACCCAATAATGCGTCCCTGACAGCGTTTAGAAACAGGGCACCATGAGTACGTGCTCCGCTTTGCACAACTTGCAACCGATTAGTGATTCAAATGTCACGTCCAGACCCTACCCGTTGGTGAGCAATCGGTGTCGTTTTCCGCGATGCGGTAGCGACTGGCGGTGAGGATACAGTCGAACTATATTTAGAGCGCTGCACAATTATCGCTAGAGGACTGGTTCAACACCACGCTTCCTAATGCCAGTACGTCTCGAAATACCACTTCCAACCTGCCAAGTCGCTGCCCAGCATTAACCTAGTCTCTGAAAATGCACTAGTCTATTTTATTTAGAGTGACTGGAGTTCAACTACGAAGAGCTCACGCAACCGACTTCTTGCCCACAGAAGGTATGTGACGTGCATCACTAAACCACAACCTCTCACTCTACATCAAAACTGCATTGAACCATACCTTGTTATGCATTCCTTCTACTTGAATAAAGAGTGACTCAAATCCACGTCCCACCTGCAATTGTTTTATCTTCCTTCCATGCATTGCAAAAAGCATGGAACCATGCGGGAGAGCTGGTGTTCAGTGTTGCGCAGCAAGATTAAGGGGGCCTGCACGTCTTGCAAGTGGACTCCGAAAGGAAAAGAACAGAGTGGACTTCAATAGCACTAGTTCGTGTAATGCCATTTGGCAAGGAATACTTTTGTTTCATGTTGCTGATCTACCGCTGGAATCCTACACTGGCGCCAATGCGAAGGCTCGGTCCACGTAATATCATTCATTTTTTTGTTTTGCATGCTTAATTTTTTTCCATTTTCGGCCCTTGTTTAACAGCTAGTTTGTGCAATAATAGTGGTATTCTTATCATGAACTGAGTTTGGTAGGTTGCCTTTTTATTCGGTGGACATCCAAGCAATCGAATGGATTGGACAACAGGTCTCAGAGAATCATGTAGTGAAGAAACGATGGACTGCTAAGGCTGCATCCTGCAACACTTGTGCTAAAAAGGCTAAACATTATACGTTTATGGATTATTGATTTTAGAAAAACTTTGGGACACAAAACATCAATGGAGATCCAATTTTTATTATATTTTTTTAATTTGACACAATTGGTAAACATGTTGCATAGATTAAAAGTGTATATAAATCAAAAGTTAAGATACAACAAAATTATCTAAGCCTTAATGCTTTCGGCTGCAGGCTTAGAAATACTATATATGATATAAGATTATCTAATACTACTTTTTAGGGTTTCTTAACCTAGAAGCCAAAATTGCTATCTACCACATTAAAGCTTTTCAAGGTTTATATTTCTATGGACAAGAATTTAATTTGTGCAACAATGAGGTGGTTCAATAATATATATATATATATATATATATTTTGTTTTTGTTTTTATTTTTTTTTTCTTTGAATTTGTATAAAATAGTCTCATATATTCTTAAAGAGTTAGAGTGTAATGGAAAAAAAATTCTTTGGTTACTTGAACTTGCCATGCATTGATTACGATTCTTTTGTGCCATATCAACCATATTAGTATAGATTCTTTTTTGGCCTTATATTTAAACCATGAGTCTTTTAATCAAATTAGAAATTTAGTTGTAATAGGTTTTCTCATTTAATTGTTGCTAAATTCTATATTAGTTGATCTTTTCTAAAGAATTACTTATTAAATTATGTGGAATAGTTAATTGAGTTTTGGAAAGTGTGTCACATAAATATGAAAATGGATTAAATAAGAATTTATCTATCAAGCCACAAAATAGTATATATAAGCCTTTGCCATCTACTTTAGAACTTGTGATTATGGTAAAACTCACTACTTTGATATATCCTTCAATAAATGAATTATGATCTTCTAGATTTGCTCAAATTTGTGCTAAATCTCAAGAATGCTTAATATTAAAATATAAAATTCTTAATTGGATACTAATTTAATTTATTAAAGTTATAAATATTTTTAGGAGTATAAATTATTTATCTTCATTAATGCCTTATAGTAGACCTTGAAAATAAAGAATATAATTGATTAGATATTATTTCTTAATTTATCACTATATGGAAGATTTTAAATTTTTTAAGAGTGGATTTCTAATCTACACATAGCTAACATAAAATTCTTCATAAGTTTTTTAAAATTAATCCAATCTACTTATTTTTGCCACATAGATCTTTAAAGAAATAGTTCTAGCTTTTTGATGTCTTGTCTTGATTACTTAAAAATAATAAAATATATATTAACTTATATTTTCTATCTAATTTTATTTTTCAATCTTTGACCTTCTATTTTTTTTAAATAATTTAATAATTTCTTTTAAAAAGCTTAAAAATATTATTTGTTAAGTACATAAATCACAAATAATCAAAAAGTCAATATATCCTTGTATTACTAAAAAATAATAGATAATTATCCATTTATAGTATACTATTAGAATTCAAATGGCTTTTGTAATCTATCAAGGACAAGAATATGATAAAAACAAATAAACAAGTGAGACTTCTCTAAAAGAAAGATGACAAAATAGAAATAACTTGATATATATATTAAGAAAGAAATTAGAATAGCTATTGCCAAAAGCCAAGAAAACTAGAGACTCTTGAAACTAAACTGGAAGCAAGAAAGAAGCTGATAAGAGTAAAGAAGGCTTCACTCTTGTCTCTATATATACTATCTAACGAGGACTACGTGGCGATATTCTATATGACCTCCAATATGTGTTGACTTTGTAGGACACATGCCTTGACTTACAAGGCAAGTTTTTCTACATGTAGACCACATAGTTAGCTTTGTCTTCAAGCTAACAACATGTGTGGCACAAGGCCAACTTGTTGACCATGTTTGTAATCCAAAAAGTCAATTAAAGACACCTATAAAGTCAAAGTAGTATCTATAAAGCTTCTATAAAGCTTCCATAGCAAATATTATAGAATTAATTTACTTTTACTTATTTTTATTTACTTCTACCTATTTATACATGTAATTATTGGCTTACATGCGTATGTCTACGACATTACCTCTCCTTCTAGGAATGAGTTTCACGAGGAGCAATCATTATATGTTGAAGAAATCTATAATATGAAAAATTATATTTGCTACATACTCTGATCTTTTTTCTCTTTGAAAATAATTGATAGAGCCTCTAAACCATCAGTAGTATCTCATATCATGGAGGAAAGACCACCTAGTTATTTGATCATTGTTGAGGCCTTCATAACTTCCTTCGAATAAAACATTTGGAACACTGTTAGGAGTT